CTGAATTTTAGCTAGACAAATAGGTTTCTTTTAAAAAACATGATTTCATCTCGCTGACCTAAAAGGTAAAGTTTAAAATATATTATTAATTGTATTATAGGTGTCTCGATTCCCCTTGCGATTTTATTATAGCTATTCTCCTTCTAAGATTAACTTTATAGTACGGCTTATAAGTTTAATTTAAATCTATAATAATAAAGCTATATGATCCAAGGGGTTGAAATTCCAGTCAAATTTATAATACCCCCCCCAAAAAAAAAAGTATGAAATATTATTAGTTTAAAGTCTATGAAACTGGCCTTTGTCCGCATGCAATAAGCGCTATTTAAATTGTAAATTATGCTTGGTGGTATTCTTGCCTGTTCTCGCTTTAGCTATTGAATTTTAGCTAGAAAAATAGGCTACCTTTAGATAACTCAAAAACATGATTTCATCTCCTGACCTAAATGGCAAAATTTAAACTAAATATATTGTAAATTGTATTACATGTGTCTTGATTCCCCATTGCTGTTTATTTATATCTATTTTCCTTCTGACGTTAACTTTACAGACTGTACGGGTGAGAAGTTTAAATTGATAATAATAAATCTTTTATAATCTACAAGTCGTATTTCCTCTCCTCCTGAGCTGTTCAAATTCACGGTTATGGTTTCACTTCTTGACAGTTATGAGATTTTTGGTGTTCAGACAAGGGAAAGTACGGCGTAGGCATTTGATGAAACCGAGTCGGTTCTTATAAATAAGATAATAAGGTAATTAATAAGACACAGAGCCGGAATGGGGGATTCGCTCATTTCCGCTTTCTTGATTCGTACCTACTTACATCGGCGCACTTATGCACTAGAACAAGTAGAAACTACATGTGAAATCAAATATTAAACAAAAAGAACTATCGTCCACTGAGTAAAATGAAAATAGAAAATTATCAAAATTATTCGACTCAAATTCGCTCGTAATGACGGTTTAACAGTACAGTTCTGACTCCCTCGAATTTCACAGTTTTCCAGGTTGGCTGACCTTAGGGTGTTCAATACGGATCAAGAATTCATGAGATCAATCTCGTAGTCATTTCGTCGAGGATTATCGAATTTGTAGATAGACAAGAGTAATACAGAATCGATTGCAACTATACTAGGTCAATGGCTCAAGATCCAATTTTATAATTGTGGCGTTTTTGAAGATATTCTTAATGAATTGCTGTAATTCCTTGTCCAAACCTCTCTCTATTCCGTTTGGTCAATCTTTCCGAGAAGAGATCTTTCCAGAAAGATGGAAGATAGTCATGTTTCTCCCGTGTTAAGAAAGGTGCTTGTAGGAACATCGACAAGTATCGTCTTTTCAATAAGTGCTCTATTGAGGTTAACACGGTCAGGTGCCCCTTATGGAGAGAAAGGTTGCTCGATGTGTCGCACATAATAGAGGCGTCATGCATTGGCTCCATACAGAGAGCGTGTAGGCATGACGCCGGATTTAAGGATGGTTCTCAGACACGCGTTTCAGGGGTCCCTGTTTATCTTTTTAGGAGAATTGGGAATTTTTTATTGTATATAGCCGTCAAAATATGTATTTTGAGTTTCTGCGTTTTGCATGTGTGAGTGTATTTATTAGAGTGAATGGGGGAGGGGCTGATGGTGAAATGGCCTCCCCATCGCCCCTCGATCTGTGTATTTGACTTGGGTCGATGGCGGAATATTTATAGAAATACCCCATTGACCCCAATTAGTTGTTATTATATGCAGATCGATGGAGGAATATTGAGTACTCCATCTGCTAAATAGAATGAACGCAATGTATGAGTGAATGTATTTATTTGTGTGAATGTGTGTTGCTATATCTCTCATACGCTCGGGGCTGAATGGTCCAAGCTGTCAGAGCCCCTTAAAAAAAGGGTTTCTTAGTGGCAGACGTATTGAGTCTTTCATTCAAACATGGTCTTTTTCAGCAACAGAATGGTTTCTTGAAAGGACGCCCAAGTGTAACCAACTTAGTTTTAGAAGGATTTCATTTTGAATCATTGGGAGAACGGTCATTGTGTTCATTCTGTTTACACGGATTTGTCTAAGGACTTCGACACAGTGGACCGTTTAATCTAGGAGAAAAAACTGGAAAAGGTAGGAGTAGGTAACCCCCTTCTGGGGTGAATCGGTTCTTTTCTGTCGGGGAGATCTTTTATAATAAGATTAGAGGAAGGATTATCGGCCCCCGTCTATACTGATTCCAGTGTCTTATTCTGGGCTAGCATTGTCTCTGATATTTTTCAATGATGTTGGATCAGTCATTAGCCAGATTTTCACTTTTATCTGAAGGACCTAAAGATCTTTCGCCCAACTTCCTCATTTGAGCAATGTAGTTTACTGCAGGAGGATCTGGACGCTTTTTGATCTTGGTGCGACAATAATATAATTCGTCGTTAAATTATTGAAATTAAGTGTAAGGTCATAAGTTTTTCGAAGGCAAAGGTCGCGAATCAGCTTGGCTTATTTGTTTTCGAATTCAATGGTCATCCCATTGACGGCATCGGTTCCATCTCGGACCTTGGAGTTATTTTTAATAAGAAATGCGATTTTCGTGACCACCTTGAGGCTGTTAAAATAATTTAATCATTTAAAAATTTTGGCTTCATTAGAAGGCAGACGATAGATTTTAAAAACGTACTTTTAAAAATCCTCTACCAATTACTTTGTTCGTTGCCATTTGGAGTAAGGTAGTATTGTTTGGTCGCTCGGATCAAACAGCGGATCGCTCATGATTGAGGGGTACAAAGGAAGGCATGTAAATATTTTCTTTTCAAAATGAATATACATGACAATAGTGAGCTCCCTTATGCTGTAAGATAGGATTTGGTTGGACTGGACTCTTTGGAAGATAGAAGAATTTTGGCTTCGGCCTCGCTCTTGTTGAAGATATTTAACAGTAGGATTGACTCCCCAGATATCTTATCCTGCATCGTAATTAGAGTGCCCCAGCGCCGACTCCGCTCCTATGAGCTATTCTATGTTCCCCGACGTAGGGCGAATTATGGTTCGGAATGTTGTCTACCGCGGATAGTTCGGCACATTAATCGGTATGGCGATGCCGCGATACTTTTTTTTTCTCAGACTTCTTGTCGGTTTTCAAAAAGAAGATTTTACGAGTTTTAAAGAGTGATTCAAGGAGCCTTGTTTATTACATATAATTTATTTTTTGTATTTGATTTTTCCTTATTCACAAGCTTTATTGTTATATATTGTAGTTATTCTTTTCTTAAAATCTATTTTTATCTAATTTTAAGTTTTTACATTCTAAATTATTATGTATATTTTTGTACTCTTGACTGTCCAGTTTTGGATCATTTGACCCGTTTGAACCGCAATAAAATGAATAAACATGCCAGAAGTATTTATGCAACGATGTACTCTCATGAAGGCGTCATATGTACATACGTAATAATACAGTAAATGTCGAGGTGTATCTATGTAGGCATGACTGTCACACGTATATGTGGGACGTGTATAAATATGTCATTTGGATCTGTGAACTGTTATGTGATGATGACCATATGCATCTCTCTGACGAACAAAAATGTCAAATCCATGTGATATATGAAGATGTATAATGTAATCTATGTGCAAGTTATCAAAGTGTGTCTGTGTAACGTCAAGTTTTATATATGTGGCGTGTAAAAATGGCAGACGTGTCAGCGTTAAAAATCCAATGAAATGTTGCAATCTGGTGAATCTGTGTGAAGTGATACGAAGATGTCAGGGTTTAGATACGGCGTTAAACAAAGATGCCATACGTTTTAATGACACGTTGAATGCGGATGTAACTATGTAAGGTATGAAGTGCTACGAATGTAAGGAAGTATGAAGATACCGTGCAGACACACACACACACAAACACACACCTGTGCACCTTACGGTTGTACGACGACGATGTTATGCGTTATTTCAGCGAATATTGATGACCCAATGAAAGATGTTATAAAGACTTTTTGCGTTTTATGTAAACATTGAATACTGATGTACCTATATAAGATTGTATGACGTCTTTATGCTTATTTATCTAAAATGAATATTGATATAAATATGTAAAGTTGTATGACGACGATGTTATGCCTATTTATGCAGCAATGAATACTGATGTTGATGTACCTTTGTAAGATTATATGACGACTTTATGTAACATTGAATAATGACGTGCCTATTGTATGTAAGGCTGCATGACGACTTTACGCGTATTTATGTAACATTGAGAACTGATGTACCTATGTAATGTTGTATGAACGTGTTATACGTATTCATTTACCATAAATACAGTTGTAAGTTTGTATGACGAATTTATGCAACATTAAATACTGATGCACCGACGTAAGGTTGTCAAGGATTACTAAGGTGCCTATGTAAGGTTATATGATAACGATGTTATGCTATCTTGGTACCAGTGAATGTTATATGACGTCACATCGAATAATGATGTACCTATGTAAGTTGTGTGACAACGATGTTATGCTTACTATGTAACATTGAATACTTATTGTATGAAGTTTATCAATGTAACATTGAAGATTGATGTACTGATATACGATTGTATGAAAACTTTATGCGTATTTATGTAAATATTAAATAATTAGGCACCTATGAAAGGTTGTATGACGACTTTATACGCAATTATGCAATACTGACTACAGATGTACCTATGAAAGACTGAAAGACGGCATTGTGTATTATTAAATACTGATGTATCTATGTAAGTTTGCCATGGATACTGATTTAATAGCGTATGGCTGTCACTGAATGTCAATTTAATGTTGTATGAAAGCTTTGCAACCAGATCGAGTTGATGGGTCAATGAAAGATTGTATAAAGTCTTTTTGCGTTTTATGTAAACATTGAATAACTGATGAACCGATGTAAGATTGTATGACGTCTTTATGCTCATTTATGTAACACTAAATATGGTAATACTGAATACCAGTGGGGGGGTGGTAATTTGAAGGTAAAAAGGATGGTTTGACTTACTTTAGCGGCTACGATGCTAAGGCCCATGCCGTTGTTGGACTTGTGCAGCTTGATAATCTGGATTTCTGGCTCTTGGGGCGCCGGGACGAAACCCGCCGACCTGTTGCTCATCGCACTGGGGCTCCTCGCCTGGAAATTCCACCGTCATAACACAACTTTAGGGCACAATAATCCAAGAAGAGAGAGAAAAAAACACTTACCGTCGAGTTTACAGGGCCCATATAGACAGTCCAGAGTCCGTTGGACGTAGGCTGGGCCGTGAGTCTGCAGAGATTGGCGTGCTGCAGCGGTGCGACGAAGTCGACGAGGCCCGGCGGGACGCCGCGGACCATCTCGCAGCTGTAGCCGTCTTCCGGTAGGAGAAACGGAAGAGCCAGTTCTGGATCTTCTTCGAGTCTTACTTCACGACCGTCGGATCGTGCCAGCTCGTCGGCGATATTTTCGGCTACCTAAACGTCAAAGATAACATAATACCATAAAATAAATTAATAATTAATATCAACGAAGGGTCAACAAAAGACAAATGAAAACCATGTTGAAATTTACACCACTAAAAATATATATAAATATATAAAAATACAAAAAAAAGTGACCGATTTATAAAGATTTATTGAGCTTAAGGATTTAGATAAAGCAATTATCGAACCTCATTATTATAGGAAAATATATCACAACCAGGCTCTACAAGACAAATCTTCTAGAGGAAAATAACTTTATTTTTTTTACTATATAACAGTTTAAAAGATCTAACAATAATAGCGGGTTGTTCACAATTGTAAATCAAGCAAAGATCTGTTTTACTGGCTTAACTATGAACATCCTGAAGCATCGCAGGTTCATAAAATGGAAACCATAAAACGTTATTACAATAAAAGGCTGTAAACTTTTTATAATAACTAGGAAATGTACTACGTTGTTTTAAATAATTACATATTTAAGGGATCTACCGTGATGCTTATTATGAGACATCATTTGAACTATATAGTTAAATGTGTGGTGTTTAGTGACCGTTAGTTTATTATTTAGAGATCGTGAGATATAACGTTAAGTTGCATTTTCAGTTGGATTCTTTATGTGTTAAACTTAATATTTGAAACTTATGTTTTATTATTGATTGTGACTTACTCTTACGACGTTGTCTACGATATCATGTGGAATTCTCGGCTCGTCAGGCGTGGGCTGGTATCTCTGTAGCAAAGCGCGCAGCTGTAGCGAATTGAGCTTGTAGCAGGTGGACGAGAGTGTCGCCAGATCGTCGCAAGTGTACTTCGGAGCCTGTTGGTATTGAAAAAAACGGCTTTCAAGTGGATATTTTGCGGTGGGAAAAGAGAGTGGGAGACGGTCCAAGTCCAACTTAACAACCTACCTGCAAGAGGTGCGCGGCTTGCATGAGCCTGGCCAAGTGACAGTCGGCTGCAAGTTCAAGGCCTTGTCTCTCGGCCCACATCTCGATCTGAGCCAACCTCGCTTTCAAACGAAGCCCCCATGTTCGTGAGCAGTATATGGAGTTGGGCGCAACCACCCTGTTGAACGCCCATACGTTGACGTAATGAAAAAGCTGGGAGAAGAGCTGGATGGTGAGCGCTGCGTTGACGCGGTACCGCCTCAACAACGACATCGTCGACAACAACACCCCTAATACCTAAATTCACAAGGACAATGTTTAAAAATAAAAATAATAATAATAACAACACGGTGAATATGTTCTTGCGAGTGTGTTATTCTGTCGCATCAAATTTAACAAATAATTTAACTTAAAATTTAACTATAATTTCATAGTTCACATGAAAAAAGGAAGGGAAAAAATTTGATTCAAAATATGGAGAAATGGAGAAAACAGTCTCTGGACAAAATTACCCGCGAGAAATAAAGTAGGAGTTAAGCAAGGAGCATAATATATATTTTTTTAAATTTGTAGTAATCAATTGTTAAAGAAAGAAGAAAAAACTCTGAGTATAAAGTTATAACGGATAATATAAATTTAATTGGAGGATGAAGAAGTTGATAAACAGAGAGAAAGGAAGGGAGAGAAAAAGAGAAAGAAAGAAAGAAAAATTATGTCCATGTATTATTACACAAATGCATGTAAAGTGAGTATATGAGTGAGTTTTTCATGGTGCCATGCCAAATACAGCGAGACCAGGCGGACCAGAATTAACTAACGGGTAATGTTAAATACCACATGACCACGATGCCAGTCTTAAACAGAGAAGAGAAGACAAGATAGAAAGAGAAGAGAAGAGAAGAGAGAGAGAGAGAGAGAGAGAGAGAGAGAGAGATAGATAGATAGAGAGAGAGAGAGAGAGTGAGAGGGAGAGAGAGAGAGGGAGAAAAGAGTGAAAGAAAAAACGTAACGGTAAGGAAAGAGGCAGACAAAACATTCTCGTTTTTATCCGTTTCATTTCTGCCAACTTAAGTGTTATTCTTACAATCGAATCCTTTATATAAAATTAGGAAGACGCTTGGCCAATTCCCCTGCCGGCGTCTTGAGTTAAAATAAGTCTTCTCTGTTTTATTCTACCTGGAGGAGCTTTAACTCGTTTTGTGTGTTCTATGTGAGAAGCTCTGTTACTTGCGTTTTTCATTTTACCCGAATAATAATGTTCTTTATTTTCTGCAAGTTGTCCTATATTTGTGTCTTTAGTCTGGTTTTTAAGCCTAACTGCGTTTCCCACTGCAAGGTAATTTAATAGAAATGATTAATGATGGAGTTTTAGAGGGATTTTAATAGGATAATATAGAAAGGGTGTTAAATGTTTATTTCGGAGATGTAAGAGTTTATGTTTTAGTACGTCATTTGATTACTGTTTCTCCATTAAGTATTCAGTATATACTGATTGAACGCGGTGTTTCATTAAGAACTATTAAACTAAATGCCAAATTATACATGCCGTGTAATTATAAAAATTGAAACTTACCGAAGCGGTTGAAGAATCTTCAGGATCGTGGCTCAAATCCTCCCTGTCGGACAAGAAGTTGGGCATAACGGCCGAAAGTTCGCCTTGCAAGCATGAGACTAAATGTCTGAAAAAGTATTTACTCTGTTTAATAAAAGACTAAATGGTAGCAAGGAATGTAAAACATACCTGAAGGCGACTTGAACCGCGTCTGCCAACGTGTCTTGGGCGTCCAGGGAGAACGCAGAAATGTGCCGGTCCGATTTTAGGAAGTGCAGAAGCTCGGAGGCGTTCGCCAGCCACAAAGCTAGACACTTGACTTCGCAGTACCTCTCCTGTATGACGCTATGGATCATGCCCGCCACCCTGGCGAGCATGAGTGTCAGCCTATGCGCTCTTTCTATCGTCGTCAGCTCGGGTCTGTAATGCGTCGAGGCTCTGTACCTCGCAATGAGGTACAGCGTGTAAGCTGGGGACAGCTTGAAAGCGGGCGCAGTCGGATCCAAGTCGGTTATAATTGCGTGAAGAAGTGCTTCTTCCGTCTCTTCTCTGACCTCCAATACAGCTGGAAGAATCGCGTCCGTCCCTCTCGCGTATCTCTCATAATTGGAAAGTCTGGAAAAATAGGAAAAAAATTTCTTTAAGGAAAAACAAATATTGATTTAATATTCAGATCTTTATGGTTAAAAAACAACTATTACATTTGACAATCAGCCAGTATTGATCTTTATACGTTTATTTTCGAAGTTTCTAGGCAGATCTTCGGATCTAGGTCATCTTCGCGGGAAGTCTGAAGCGATAATGCTTTTACGATGTTTCAAGGAAAAAGAAAACCCGATAATGTTTATGACCAACTGTGTATAAAGGAGCGATGACAAACCAAAACAGAGAACATCTAACCATTTCTCTCCATCGGGAAAAATAGATGAGACAAAAAGGACCAATAATGCATGTAAATGATAAATGACAACAACTGACCCGACGTTTTCCTTTGGGCCGGGCATCCGCGTAGATTTATCCGTGTCATTTTTCACCCGCCAGTCATTTCTAAAAGCTCTTGAGACTATGGCCGTTTCGTTTCATTCCCACTAGGTCAATTCCAGTGGATCGATGTTGTAAAGTAGACAGAGATAAAACAAGCAATAAAACTTTTAACCCGCATCTATGCTGGAATTAAATTGAAAATGGGATCTACCGTAGAATTCACTTCGTTCTCAATTTCCACCCACATTTATAAGAATTCAGGACTAAATATAAGATAGAAATTAAATTGATAAGGTTATTAAATTATCAGCTTCTTTGTGTGAACCGTACTTTTTACTACTAAATGACGTTCCTGTTCTTTGTACCATGTACAAAGCTCCTCAGGGTTGTTTTCGTGTTAAACATCCATTATAATATAATACAGGAAAGATCCAGTTGTTTTAAAGCAACGTGATTGTTTTATTTCTTAAAAAATCATTTAGCAGTCTTAAAATTATTAACAGTTTTAACTTAAAATATCAGTTACGACGAAGGAAGAAGGAATTTATAAATACACAGATGTTAAAGTCCTGGTAATATCAAATGCAAAGTAGTTTCCCTTAAAGAACACTTCAAAAAAGGAAAATAATATAATATATAAATATTGGCCCGTAAAATTGTCTTTTAGTGTTTCGGTTGTTTATTCCTGTAATGACAGTGAAAACATAATAAACCTTCCATGTTAAAGTATTATTCTTTCATGTTTTTTCTATTGTCTGCGTCTACAAGCAACTTTGTATGCCCGGTGCGTTTCGGCATCTTAATATTAAATCGTCGTGGCTGGCGACGTGATGAACATAAAGATTGATCACCACCGATTGTACAGGACTATTCCGAAAGGCCCAAAAAACCAGCGAGAATGGGCGGACCACAGGATAAACGGTTCACAATTTGCCGATTGCCTAAATTGGTGTAATATGTGTCACGAGGATATTGTCTTTTGAAAACGAACAGCGAGAAAGTGTGGACCAGAAATAAAAAATCACTAGGCATACAACTAAAAAAGAAAAAAAAGTAGTTTTTGCTTGCAGGAACGGCTAATGAACTCATGTGGTGAGACATCATGTGAGAACGAACAGCGAGAACACACGGACCAGAAATGAAAGTCACTGGGCATATAAAAAAAGGTAGATTTTCCTTGCAGGAACACCTAAATTAATGGTAAGCTCTCTTCTGAAAATGAACAACGTGAACAGACGGACCAGAAATAAAAATCTCTGGGTATATAAAAAAAATGGTTTTTCTTGCAGGACCGCCTAACTAAATTAATGTTAATGTATGGCCCTCTTCAGAGAAGGAACAGAGACAACAGACGACCGCGAATGAAAATCGATGGGCACATAAAAAAGTTGTTATGACTGCGAAAACGCCTAAACTAATGGTCGGCCCTCTTCTGAGAATGAACAGCGAGAACAGATGGTCCAAGGAAAATGTTTGGCCACATATACAAAACGAAAAATTGTTAAACATTGCTGTTAGATTTGTCGGACCTGTTCTGCATCTCCTCTTCGACGAAAAGCCAGAACAGACAGACGAGGATGATCAAACTTCACACATGATGCCATTCAACCAAACCTTCATGAAATATCGGAAAAAACGTTAACCTCGACTTTTCGTACTAATAATAGGAAACGATCTAAGCTATGCGTAACCCGATAACGGTTTTGTTCCCTTTCATGGCGAAAGCTATGGAAAATCAGTACTGAGAATTCTTCTGTGAACAATCGCTTCACACCTTACGTCAACTATCGAACCGATTCCCACTATCTCTACCATTCAAAATTCACTCAGACGGTGTGACTTACCCTCTGTTAATGAAATGTGCAAGGCTAAAAACGTACAACTTTGACTCGAAGTACCTTGATTACTACGATGTACCCAAATTAATAAAAAATTCAGAGGATTTTTTTTTCAAATTTACACTCAAAATTGATCAACAATATCCCCACCTCTCATACAGTGAAATGTCTCCGTCATGTAAAAAATTCCTCTATAAGGATCTTCAAATCAATCAACCTTTCTTTGAACATAGCGCAAAGTTCTAAAATTCCATCCATTCCGCTAGCTCACTGGTTTTTTCAAAGTTAGGTGCGAGTTACTACTTAATTATAATACGGCAAGAGTCAAAAGTTCCGGTAAGTCCTCTCCCTACAACAGGCAGGCTCGAGAAGATTGTCTTCACTTTCTAGCAGCATGTCCAGTTTTAGCGGAATTCCGAGCACGGCATATAGGCTTGCCCACGTTGACAAGAGAGCACCTAACCTCTTTATTAAATAACCCCGAGTCTTAAATTTAGTAAAATTTGGAAGCCTGGAACTACAGGAAAGAACTAGTTTTTTTAATTTCAATTATTAAATGCTTATTGTATGTACAAGACACACCGCAGTTATTTATATGTGCATAAGTGTATGCAAATCTACATAGATATGTTGAATTTTATTTTACTTATATGTTTTTTTTCTGTTTCGTTTATCTCTTGAGAACAAATTTTTACACCACGTTTGTTTATTAAAAATTTATAGTCAGACACCGGCGGACGGTTGATAACCTTTGACGTTATGTGCTTTTTAGTTATGTGAAATTTTTGTTCATCTAATAAAGTATTTTTTCATTCATTCATATTGAGGAGAGAAAAAATCAAGCAGACGAAAAACGGAATTATTTAAGGATAATTCTGATTTTGTGGAAATAAAACATTTAATGACTTATTTTTTATAAAATAAATTAATCCCTTTGGAAATTTAAGCTGATAAACTGTCAGAAACATATTGTTTAATAGCTGAAATGTTCATGTATGACCAGGATCGACATTTCTGGTCCACTACGCCAAAATTAACCAATCAGATTTGTTGATTATCCAATTACGCTTATCATCCCGGATTAATTAATGAATTTCGATGTATTTACATTTATGTAGGCGGCGAGAAAAGGTCTGAGCAACGATGTCCTCAGCGACGGAAAAACGAAAAGAGAACAAAGGAAGTCGAGACAGACGTACAGAAGTAGTGCCGGGTATGCAAGTCGTGTATCGAAGTTCGTTATGCTTGAAGTTCTGGTGTATTTTTAGTATTCAGTTAATTAAAAAGTATTAAAAAAAGTCTGGTGGTTACTTTACTCCCACATTTATTAATCATTTTAATCATGAGTCGGGACAGTTTTGTATATCACAAAGGAAAATAAGTTTATCTAAACTGATAACAACCGAGAAATTTATTCCTCTGGAAAACATTAAAGAGTTTGTTTGTCGGGTTGAATATGAGGCAAGAAGGAAATTAAAGTTGCCCATTTTCGCGCAATACGATTTAAGCGAAAAGGGGGAAAACAGGTTTTTCCAACGTTAAATGAGAAAAACGTTCGGATTTTTCATTAGCCGATGTCCGTGGCTATAAACTGACACCAAGACCAATTAATGTGGTTTCGAGAGTGGATTTTTTCCCTCTTTTTTGTTCGGTTTACAAAAAGCTCGGTGCGATATTTGGGCTTCCACACTCATACGAAAGAAATGAAAGCACCCTCATTCCTGTTGGGGAATTCGCTTACAAAGCGGCGAAATATAGAACCGTTCCTCAGAAGTTCCCAGGATGGATGTGAAAAACAGATTCTGTGTATAACGTGGAATCCGAATTGGATTGATGTGATAAAAAAGGAAATTGTCCTAACGTTAAATCGACATTACTATGGACAGATGTTTTGCCAAGTTCACAAAAAGAAATATAAAATAATATAATATTTTGAAGGTTTAAACTGACATAATAACAATAAATAAATAGTTAATAGGAAAAAAATAGTTTTCATACGAGCTGACACCAATATACTGTTCAAAAACATTTTCAACGCAAATATGAAAACAACAAAATTTAAGACATATTTTAAATATAACTGACTGACTGATTTGACTGAGTCAGGTTCAAAATATCAAAACGTTTGTACGGAGACTGAAAGATGTATGTACCACAGTGGCTCTTTTTTTAAATAAACTGTTACAAAATATTAATGACTGACGACCACTGTTTTAACCACTGCGTTAACTCATCTGAGGAAGGATTAAAATAAATCCGAAACATTGTGGATTGAAAGAAAAACTGGTTGTTGTTTTCTTGGGATGACCTATTATCCCACCTTCGAGAAGGAAAAATCATAAGAAAATTATTGTAGAAGCATGGTGTAAGGGCGGGTTCAATGTTTTTTCCAAAATAAAATTAGACCACCAAACTTGAACACCTGTAGCTTGGCTAAACTAGTCAAATACGTCACAGATAAAGATTAAATTCAGGGTGTGGACAGTACAAATAACGATTTTGAATCATAAAGTAAATACATTTTTGGATTCGATGATGATAACGACTATTTTAAGATACTTTCTAAATTTGAGTTGTTCTTTATTTCATGGGTTAGTAGTTATTCATGAAAAGGGGGTTAGTTCTTTTATTCTTTGGCCAAATATGTTTGTAAATAACAGACAAGATATGACAAGAAATCTATTTCAACACCGTCAGGATGATAAAACCATGCGATATCCTTGGTTGAATATTAAAAAACCCCTGAAAAACCATGCATATTTCGTTTTCAAGACATGTAGCCGCGATCCGTCACCGGTTTTACCTATTTCCCTCACGGCTGCTGCTGATCGACCTCTGAGACCTGGTGTCCTCCTTGTTTCCCTGGCTGGAGGTCGACCTCGTCTCGACGTTCCCGTCGACATCGAACGTCGTCTCGTAATTGAGAGGGTTTCCGGACGGCGTGCTCGTCGTCGTCGGACCGTTCCCAACGCTCAGGCTCGACGTTTCGTCTCGTGCGGATTGTCTGTGTTAGTTCGGTGGGAAAGTGACACAAAAATTAAAACAAAAAACACACAAAAAAAAAATAAGTGAAATGTGTCGCATTAAGTGCATACATGATCAAAATAAATACAAAGTGATGTCCAAAATTAAAAAATAAAAATAAAACAAAAAACAAGGGTTTGTGCGACTACAAGCGTTATTAATTAACTTCCCCAATTAAACCTTAAATAATATTGCAAACGTAGAATATTTCGAGATGTCACTCCTAAGTGTTGACCTACTTTCCAGGTGATGAAATTACTTCTAAAGCGCAAAGGGACAAAACACAGTAAGGTGAACAACCCACGTCATGCATGGAATTTACAAAAGGACGAAAGACGTTCGTATAATAAATATATATGAAAATGCGGAACAATTGTGATTTTGACGTGGAAATCAAAACTAAAAATAGAGTAATAAATAGAAAATAACTCGTATTAATGGACCAGATAATCGTTCGTAGAAAAGTTTTTATCGATTACATTACATTTACTCACTTGTATCTCGTTTTTATAAATAAAACTTGTGCTTTCTACTTTACGAAAAGAAAGACCGATTTTCGTTTATTATTTCAAAAAAAAAATCCATTTTAATATGTATAAGTATAACTTTTAAAGAGGAGTTCGTGCCCTGAGGTAGAGGATATTGAATTATTTAAATCCTGATTACTGATGGCTAGGAAGAACGGTTTGAAAGAAATAACGCTATAAATTAATTGAAAGGTTGGTACTTAAGTGTATAAATAACGAAATAAATAAACTAGAATGCAAAACTTGCGAAAAAACTGAAGTTTCTTGTTATATGATTATTACATAACAAAATAACAACATCACTATGATTCTTTTTATCTTTGCATATTTGCATAAGGTGAAAAGTATATTCTATGCGATCGACTAGTCTTTACTATATACAATAATAGTCTCGGTGAATTGGGTTGTGGTCAGAAAAGGAAATAATGCCACAGTACCAACGCCGAGTTTTCGATGATATATTTCGTCGTCTTCGGGGTCTGCAGAAGACAATCTTAATTCATCTAGACATTCTTACAGAACTGATTCTTGACAACTTACAGGTTTAAATTTAAAACCTAAAAAAATTAAAATCTCTGACTACAACCCTAATCCACAAGACTTTTACATAGTACGACATAGACTATTACGTAGTAAAAATATACAATACACCCCTTTTTTTGCAATCTCTCACTCCTTCTCTGCCACTATCTATCTAAAATCTCTCTCTCTCTCTCTCTCTCTCTCTCTCCCTCCATCCACCTATATCTCTCTCTCTCTCCCCCTCCATCCACCTACCTCTCTCTCCCTCCATCCACCTATCTCTCTCTCTCTCTCTCTCCTTCCATCCACCTATCTCTCTCTCCCTCCACCCACCTATCTCTCTCTCTCTCTCTCCCTCCATCCACCTATCTCTCTCTCTCTCTCTCCCTCCATCCACCTCTCTCTCTCTCTCTCTCTCTCTCCATCCACCTATCTCTCTCTCTCTCCCTCCATCCACCTATCTCTCTCTCTCTCTCTCACTCTCTGTCTCTATCTATCTAATCTCTCTCTCACCCCCTCCCCACTCACTCTCTCACCCGTTTTTGTTCTCAGTTCCTTCTCTCGTTTTTCTTACCATCTGTTTTACTACATGTTTCTCATTCTCTCCCTCTTTTCTGTGGTTCGTTATCTTTTCCTTTTTTCCTTCTCTCTCTTTCCCTCCCTTTTACAATCCCTCCCTCCCTCCCTCCCACCCTCTCTCTCTCTCTCTCTCTCTATCTATCTTTCTCCCTCTCATTCGCTCTCTATCCATCTCTCTCTCTCTCTCTCTCTCTATCTATCTATCTTTCTCCCTCTCATTCGCTCTCTATCCATCTCTCTCTCTCTCTCTCTCTCTCTCTCTCTCTCTCTCTCTCTCTCTCTTGATAATAGTTGATAATATTAACGAACAAATCGAAAAAATAAATGCTGACCTTGTAAGACTGGCAGACTGGAGTAATAACCATATGTTAGCGTTAAACCCAACTGAATGCAAAACAATGATTTTTGGTCATAATAAATCATTATAAAAATTGAACCTTGATGATGAAATAATAAAATTGATAACATCTATTTAAAATATGAAGAAAATGTACAATGTCTGGGCTTAACGCTTACCAAGTAAATATCATGGGACATAGAGGTGTTAAAAATCAAATCTACTCGATCGATAGATTTAATAAATTGTGCTATCTTAGTCTCTCTCTCACCCTCTTTCATAATGTTTCGTTACCTTTATTTTTATTTATTACAGCATGTACTAACTGAATCTCTTAGTTACTCTAATCCCTTATTTTTATATTTCTTTCGCTCTTTCTCACTTTATCTAATTCAATGCCACCTACAGAAGTAGGTTCTAATCTCTTCATTTTTAACTTGCCCTCTCCTCTCTTCACTCCTTTTCACCGGCTTTGTATCTCTCACCCTCACACCCTTTAAATTTTCACTCCTCAACCCTCCTCTCACTCGTTCTCTCTCGTCCTAAATTCCCCTCTCGTTCTTTCAGTCAATTCTCTCTCCTACTCTTTCATTATAGAACAGCTGATCGTTATCAGGCCACAATTATGAAGCAGTCCTGCACGCAATGTAAAAAATCAACAGCTCCACTCGCTTAGTTAATTAACAAGTTGCAAAAATATTCTAGCGGGTCAACGAATGAACAATTTAAGCCGACCAATGAGAAGGTGAAAAAGTTTTAAACCGGATTTAGAAATGATAATCGACTTACAAAATTATTTTTGACTATGTATATTATTTGTCACTTTTCCTTCCTCTTATAACGATTTTGGTCATTAATACAATTATTCTCCTAGTTTTCCTTATATGTGCAATACATGAAAAATATAATAAAACAAATAAAAATAAATTTAAATAACAAGACCATAACAGAAAAAGAAAAGTTGTGTTTGTGTTATAATGAGTGTATTTAAACATAAAGCTAACAATTGAGAATATAACAAAACATTCAAACAGGAAAATTATTTGTATGTGCAATGTAAACATCCGAAAGCAATTGTTTTTATTTCTAATCGTGTTACGACAAAAGGGATTCGGCAGAAGAGAAAAAAAAACTGTCCTGAGTGCCAATTTCATGGCTCGTCGGAGTCCAAATTTCCCTTTAAACTTTTCTGCTAGAGGAAGAAAATAAAATACCAAACAAGGCAAAGACAGATTAACAAAGGGTTCATCTGTTGCCTTGAGACGAGACGAAAACAACGAAAACGTTGCGACACCCTGCGAAAATTTCCTTTGTTTTTTTTGCGCAACCATCAGCAAACAATTAACATATATACAATACTGTTAGTTATAAAGGAGGCAATGCAAAACGAATTTTTTAAATAAACCCAGAGCGTTGTAATAATTGTTGTAACGATTTATAATAAAACAGAACTGACCTGTCGTAAGAATAGTCGTGCGGGGATCTGGAGGAATCGTGCCTGAGCCTTGCCCTTTCCTCGTGGCAAGGATCAAGGAATCTGAAGTTGTGAATCCTGCCGAATTTCACTGTCGCACCGTCCTGAAAAATGAAGATATGAAAGATTTTAAGGGCGAAACTTTTACGAGGATGTCAAATCGAGTGAAGATGTCGACATTCCGTCTGGCGTGTGCCATAACCATCAAGCCGGACTTAACTCGATAGAGACTTTTGCCACTAGTTCAGAATAAGCAGAAACCCTAGGACTATGAGCCCTTAATCTTAAGCCGGATGATGATCTCTGACAACATTTTTTAAAATTTCCTCTCAATATTTTTGAAATATATTATACGGGATTTGTTTTATATATTAAAGTTTAACAATAAATAAAATGATTATGGAATACAGATCAATCATATTCCATATAGGAAATTGATATGCAATCGGAAAACGAGAATAAGAGTAATAGAATGGACTTTTCTAACAAAACCCTCGCGATTTGACCAATATTTTTCAAAGAAAACCCTAAAAAACCGAAATAATTTATCACACAAAAAGGTAATGAATTCTGCTAAGGTCATATCAACCCTTGGAGTGCCGGTGGTTTTGAAAACAAAAAACCCATTCACATCACTCTTGGGACGCACATTGACAATTTGTTGCATCTAAACTTAACTAAGAATTATTTTTATTGAGACATCTCAAACGTAATTTATCTCATAGGATTTTAATTAATGTTTATTTTTAATGTTCGTATATTGTTTATGCCTTATTGGTCTGGGGTCACTCTAGTCATGCTAAACTAATCTTCAAAAAAACAACGTAAAGCCATCAGAATTTCAGGGAATTTAAAGTTACATGGAATGTAGTTAAGTTTAAGGGAATGTTGCAAAGAAACATTTACAAAATTAAACATTTTGACTTTGCTCAGCTTAAATATTTTGCAATGTGTAGAGATTAGTGACCGTTAATCGATAGTTATTCAGATATCGTGAGACACACCCGACCGCATCTCACGATATCTGAATAAATATTTTGCAATGTGTAATGTATTGTTACAAACGAAGTGAGACTTTAAAAAAAATTAACTCTGCACATAATCAAAGTTCACAAGCGGCTGAGCCTTAAACGAAGTGAAAACTTGTAAATATTGGACTGTATTTTTTTTAAAAAAAATAATCTAACAGATGATGTCAAACTGTTACCTGAAAAAATTTAAACTTAAATAACAAAATTCCTCACAGTTAATGCCTTTTATGATTTTGAGGAGTTTTTCCATGTATTAAAAGTGATATAAAAATGAATTAATTTGTACTATCCTTGACGAATGTAATGTCAAAACGTGTATTTTGTTTCCTTATAAAACTCTTGTATCTTTGTATCATTTGTAACTATGTCGGGTTGGATTGGTGCAGGGCCGGTGGATTCGAACCCGAGACCTTTACCTTACAGTGATGAGCGCCTGCCGACCCCTAAACCATCGGGGCCACCGAACCACCCTATTTTTTATTTAATTTTTTTTTATATTATGACATTTATTATATATTATAAAACTCAGCTCATATTAATGGCCTACTTTCTTTTAAATGAAACGGATACTTTGCAAAATCAGCCTTAAATATTGAATTACTTTAAAAGACAACTTTAATCGATTATCGCGAAGACTTGAATTTATTTTTTACATTATATTTACAGTTTAGCTTTCTCTTAATTTTCAAGACTTTAAAAAAATATGTTTTGTCCAGGTGACATATGAGCGTTTTTGTCCCTGACCTGCATAATTCATAGCAGGGAAAGGTTGATGGAGCGGTTCAAACTTGTCAAGTTCAGATAATGTATCTGTTCATAATTTAATTTTTTTCTCGTAGTTATCTTACGACTTGTTTACCAATGGCAACCGTGTGACGTAAAAATTTACGATTGTTTAAAGTTATACAATGTGGTAAAATGGCCTGGATTTCAATGTAAAACCTGGCCTGTGATTTTTATTAACCTGGAAAAAAGTTAACAATATTTGAAGAAAAGTAAAAAATTGTTTTTTTATTATCCATAAACCCTGCGGCTTTCAAAATCCTTTTATGTTCAAGAGGTATTCATCAGGAGTATCGTCCAGACGAACGGGGATTTATTCGGCTTCCCCATAAGAATTTCCCATGACGACTGCACTGATAACAGGTCCTTGCGTCATTGTTTACACCAGGTAAAGAAATCTTATCGAGAAACGTATTTCCTTATATCTCGCTATGGGGATAATGGAACATGTTGAACAAGACTGGCCTTTCGATTATCAGAGCGTAAAATGAGAAGCGAAACAAAACAACCGCTATTTACTGGAGCGGATGGAATCCCTCTTCAAGCTGGAAACGTATAAATTTAATTGAATACGGTCCTATGGAATTTAACGATGATAAAGAATTCAAAAGAAGTCAAACCTAAAAAAAAATTCTCTTATACAGATGACTTTTCTTGAGCTTAACTCTCCTGGAAGAACGTTGCTATGGATTGCATGGTAGAAACGACTCATCCGAAAAGAAATTCACACAGTTAACTGAGGGTATTACGAAAACAATTGCCAAAAGCGCCTTAAATTATACGTTGAAAGACACGAAGCGCATGAAAAACTAAACATACATAAAATTTTGGACGATAACAGGACATTTTCGTGTGAAATGTTAAATCTGGCAGGGTCCGTGAGTCGATGAACGTGCATAAAGGTCGATCCTAGTCCCCTTTTCGCCTATTTAATTTGTTTCTATAAACTTTTGAATAAATTTTGATTCGGAGGCCAGAATAACAGTACTATCTGTACATAGGCATATATTTATTTACTGACTTCCATGTTATCTTTCTCACACTTTCCAACTATATGTTTACTTATTATTTATTTCTCAACCATTCTCTGCTCCTCTTTTTTCATTTTTTCTCTTTCTCTCTTTTTATCGAACTATCTCCCCCCCATATGGAAATAAAATTGTGTTGTTTTTCTATCCATTCCAATTTTTGCAACACTGTAGGCTAGCCTGATTCTCTGTGTGAGGATGATTTATATAAGAAAGAATAAGAAAATATGAATGCAAGAATATAGAAACATATAGCTATCATTCTGGCCTCCAATTATAAAAAGACGCTTGTGTGAAATCCACCAAAAGAAATATGAAAGAACGGTCACATTATTGTCTTGAGTTACGTTAACGTGTGTTTTATCTAACGATAGGACTTGTAATCCTAATCCTATAGGCGCAACATATAACTTGGATTGTGTGGACGGCACTTTTTTTTATGTGGTCCGGTTGATCTGGCTGATCCTATGGAAAAACAACAAAAACTGGAACCACACAGGCATACCCCGACGAATAATATGCATACTGTTAGTTTTAAGTGTGATATGACCAAAGGAAAAAAAAAGGTTTTTACGTTATTGAAACAACCACTTTACGGATAGATATGTGATTATTAAAAATCACCGTCTCTCTATTTGCAGATGACGAGATCTTCAAGGAGACCTAAAGATTTCAGATTTGCCATTGATCGCATTGACCCAAATAAGACCCTTGGACCAGTCTCGAAGGATGCCATCAAATCTCACCGATTCTCAAAATATGATAAAACAGAGATAAATATTAAAATTACTGCTTTTACTACTCCCAGTGTACAAATAGTTCAAAGATTATTAATCCCTCACCAATTAAGCGCCAGAAAAAGGAACGTATTTGAAATTTATCAAAAATAATTATTTCTAGCTGAAAACAGTTTTATTTTTATTGGTGGCGTCAAGTTAAAAACAATTTTAAGGTATTGAACAATTTTTTGCAATTCCCATTCCTAACAAATTAATATTGGTGTGTGTGTGTGGTGTCCCAACCAAAAACGAGAAATGTTTACTCCTTTGTCTAAAACCGGATCTTCCTGAATAATTTCGCTTGAGAAAAAGAAAATTCTGACAGATCAAATTGGCACCTTTAAGAGAGTTTTCATCCTACAAAGCCACCATCCAAGAAAAATGCCCCACTTGGAGTTCAAATGAATTAAAGAAAGTGTTTCGCTCAATTTGAAACTGACCTAGGTACATTGCGGTATTAGCGGAAGAGATGATAAATAATATCGAATGTATTTCCCATCGATAGAATTTGACAAGCCCAACGATAGGTTTTTACGGTTTTGGTAGTGCCTTATCAAGTTAGTTATTGATGATGGTCCTGTAATGTCAATAAGTGAAGGAGGATCATCCAGGTCCGATTGTTCTCATTGATTTTGTCTGTCATAGCCGTTACGGTATTTCACCATTTTCAGTGATAGACCAAACCAGGGAGGCTAGGCTAAACTGAAGGTTCATCACCCTCGCACACCTCAACGGTAGGAGGACGATGCGAAAAACTCTCACAGTTTAATTAACGCGTTTAAAGGTACAACTAGTATAATATAATTAGAAGAGCTTACTTGAAGTATTGTTGTTTCGTAGATCCTTTGTCCGTTGACATAAGTCTCGGCGTCTCTGCTGCAGGGTGTGACCGTGACGATGCCTTCTGTATGCGCGATGACGCAGTGCCTCGGCTGTATGTTGGGCCCGAACAACTGGAGCGACTGTCCGTGTCCGTGGGGTGATCCTCGCTCGCTGCCCACCTCGGTAACGTTCGGATGGAGCTTGTAACGCTTCGCACTACCGCCGGCTATCTCGGAACCATCTGGAATGAGAAGAGAAAGCCATTATGCAACTGGGACTCCAGACCTTACCGGTTTCCCCCTCCTTGCGATGCCTTCCCGGCGAGTGATACCATTACCACGACTCGCTCCTCTCGTTTTGTTTAAAAAGACTTAATCTATTCCCTCCCGACCCTGAGGCAGGCTTTTAAAGCCGTTTTACACGACTGGGGATCGTACGAAAAATCTATTATGAATAACGTCCTTAGAATTTACAATCTGCAGAAATTGTTGTATACAAATACGTATCTGGTCCGCCTACTCTTTTTACTTATGTCTACGTACATAGGAATATGAACAGTGAAACCATCGATAAGGAGACACCTCCTTTTTCAGGACACTTAGGTACCGGCATGAAGGAATAATTTCTATGTGTTCTCGTGTCCTCCTACAGACTACAACAGTGCACATTACTCTGGTTAGGGTGCAGGCCAGATTAGTTTTCCCCCATGGGTAACATAAATGATCTCTGAGTGTTAAAACAACTTCTAATTATTAATTAATTGAATTAGAGTGTTTAATGAGTTTGTTAGCTGCTCTTTCACCCCCCCCCCAAAAAAAAATCTTATTTTTATTCCTATATAGCTTTGCACCGTCAAATTAACCCTTTTTAATTTCAAGTTAACCTTTTCTAACTTCAAATAACGCTTTTTTTACTTCCATTTCACCCTTTTTCATTTCAAAGTAGCCCTTTCTTTAAAGAATTAAAAAACTAAGGAGATGGGTATGAAATATAAGTATGTAAAATAAAACTGCTACATATTTTTTATTTTTACAGTGTTCTTACATGTAAAAAATACTTGGAACTTTACGACCATATGAAAATGAAATTAAAAGTTATATAAAAAACAACGATTGTTCTGTTATTTCCAGTTTTTCTAAAAATATAAAATAATTATTTTATATTTAAAAACAATTTCCAGTTAATAGAATGTTGTAAATGGTTTTTACGTTTAATTTTAAATAACTTTTAATTTAAAATGTAATTAAATTTCAATTGGTACTTAGGTGAGCCGATTTTATATTTTTATACAATTTCCCAAATCAAAGAAAGAATCCTTTATTGTTATATTAAATTTTTTATAAATTTTAATTCTAGTAAATCTTACAAATTAATTAAAAAACATTGTTTTGAAGTTCAACAAATATTAATTTGAAATTTACAAATTAATTTTATGTTAAAAAGTGTAAGCTTGACGGAAAGAAACTTTAACGATAGATTACATTCATCCCTCTCGCACGAGGGCAAAAATATTAAAACCACCACTCTCTCCCTTAGCAAGACCTTCCCCTGTCCAACCACAGCAGAAGATGGAAGTCAAAACAAGCGAAAATAGGCGGACCAGGAGGATCTGCATATTAATAAACCTTTCTATTCAACACCTCACGATTTATTCTTTTAATAACTGTCTTCATTAACAAGACAATAATTTATTACGTATATGGCACAGTAGTCCTTAAACTATTTTATGTCATGACAGTGCTGGCTTTTAACCGAACATTGTTTGTTGTATTCTTCTTGTTTCATTTTGATACTATTTTTATTTTTTTTAAATTCGAGGGGCTTTCATAATTAATATAACTTGTTTGTAGAGTTTTAATTACTTAACTCCTTGTTAAACATTATTGTATTTCACCACTGTAAAGAACCGTGGAACGTTACTCTACCGAGGCATTTGACAAAGGGAGGAAATATTTTCGTTTAGATAGTTGAAGTAATTACAGGTTCGAATCGATTCTACAGGTACCTTGGGCAACTCGTGGTCAGGCCAAATGGAAATAGGGGTTTACTTAGAACATAAATCATACTACTCAAAAATTAAAAAAATCCCAACATTGTTACAAATTGCAGAGAAAAGAAGAAGAAAACGGTAGGGATCAAACAAGAACGTTCTCTACGTATAAAAATCATTGCGAAACCCCTGGAGTTATTTAATGAACAAAAGTTAAGAAATTATAAGGAAATGTCGTGCATGATCGAATCCCTCGTGAAAGTACTTATTATAATTTCATGATTATTAATGGTTTTCGATATAATTAGGGAGAAGAAATTAATATTTTTATATCAAAATATCGTTTATTCTTGAATTTATCAACAGTTCGATTGATTTTGACCATATATGTATGTCTTTATGTCGAATCGAAGTTCGAACATTCACAAATGGCGACAATAAGCGTGACCCTGAACACCCAGAGCATTGCCAAGATTATACCAGTTTAAGCAATCTGCCATGAATAAAGAGCAGCTGAGTCAGTATTGACTTCTAATCCTTTTTTGAACGAATGAATAATGTTCAGCTCATAAATCTTTGATAATAAAGTTTTATCGATAGAATTAATAAATAGGGTGATTATTGAATCTTTTAAAGTAAAAATATTCTAAAGTTAAGTATTGATTTGATTCAAATAAGGATTTGTTTTGTATTTTTTTACGAACAGTCGGTTATTGTTTAACTGTGGGACGTTCTCCTCATGCTTGCGTGTCAATGAACCTGTCCACCTTTTCATCGGTGTATACACATTATGAATATAAAGAGCATACTCGCATCATGAGGTATGACCAGGATGGACGAACAGCTTCGATCTACAACTATAAAAACCAACGGTGCTCAAGCTCATAATGATTTATCCAGTTCATCAGGGAAACTTAAAAAATGCCTTAGTCGATTTTGTATACACATTTCAGCCTATCCTTGCTGTATAAGCTGTACCATATGCCAACGTAGCAAAATCACCTTGGTATAGCGTTACATGATGAAAACAAATAAGAATTTGGAATATCTTAACTAGCAAGCTCAAGGACAATTTAATGCAAGCTTCTTTACCACAGTCAAACTTTGATTTTATTGTCTCCAGTTGTACGATCAAGATTCAGAATGGGATATTGAACGCCCTACCTCCTGCTCGTCAATCCGAGCTACTCGAACTTGATCTCCATGATTTAACGTTACTGTGTTAATAATTAACCTTCAAAAACTAACAATTAAGTTAAGAGGAATGACACCGGGATGAAAACGACCAACTATCATTCTGGCCTTCGTTATAAATGTGTACATTTCTTACCATAAAAATATTTGTAGGTGTATTTAAACTATTGGTTATTCTAAACACTCCCGACTCCATAATTCATGGAGATATTGTAAGATTGACGAAAACGTTCAATCTAAATCTATAAAATTTGTTATGAAATGAAATTATTTTCTATGTAACAGGGGGTGACAACCGCCCTTTCAAGTGGGTTTGAAGCTTTGAAAGGTTTTGCGTCCATAATTCAAATCCATTAAGATACTCCAGTTTACACTCGGCCTACGTACGGGTTAAACTCGGTTGTAAATTTAAGAAAACATTTAAATCAAAGAAGATTTTTGCCGTTGAAACTATATAAAATGAGCCGACTTGCGTTTTCTTAAACGTTTTACGCATTGGGGTATCTATGTTTGAAAAATTGGCCATTACAAGCAGAACGCAGGTCGATTTGTCCAATTTGAGAGAGAAAAAAAAGGGATGACGTCCGTTAAACATTCTTTAAAGACAGTCGAGTGAGATTTTCAATTTCCCGTCCCGTCCACCTGTCGGCCCTGCCAGGCTGAATTATTCTTCCGGTAACTGAAGAGCCAGGGGCACTTTAAAGGGTGTGGTGCGTCTGGCGGTGTGACGCTAAAAGCTTGTGACACCAACAGGGCCTAGTCATTAACACACCCCTGTCGATAAACGGAAAATACCCCATGCCGTTGAAATTTAAGAGGGTGAGCTCTTTTAGACAATGCGTCGCAAACCGCAATAAAATTTGTCCTGTTTGTAGATTTTGACTTGGAATCGATTTTTATCCACCGTCCAATATATATATCATATATCACTTCGAAAGGCAAGATTAAACACCGGAAGAAAAACAGCCAACTGGATTTACAACGCATTTCAATTATTGGGAACGAGATTGCGAAATAGGTCCATTCCGTTGGTTTTCGATAAGTAATCTACATTCTACCTTTCTATCTTTTTATAGATTACGTTTCACGCAAAACTGACTTCTCAGGAAGAAAGATCCATGTCCTTACTTGGTTTCAGAAAGTGATATAAATGCCACGTCCACAGCACTTCTAGAATGGTACACAAGAGGACAATTCGAAACTAAAACTTATCCAAGTGAAAAGTAACCATGATGATGTAAACTTGATATCCAAAATTCAAAAATGGACGTAAAATCAATCAGACTGAATTATGGGTATACGTGTACATAACCCATCGTTAAGAGGTATTCCGTATGCCAAACGATGCAAACTTTCAAGTTGAAAGGATTGCCCGCCTAAAGGTTTGTTACCAAAAGTTTGCTCAGTCCCATAAGGAATTAAGGCATCTATCAGTCAACATTAAAACCAATAGTAAACTGACCACTTTAATCTTCCGAAAAAACGGACCTCAACCTGAGTGAACAAAGCAAAAACTGTTCAAGTTTACCTACAGTAAAAGTACAAAGCAATGTAAAACACGTACCAAACGAAGCCATGGTATGGCAAAAGGTTGATAACACAAGTTAAGAGCGGGACCTTCAACCTTCAAGTTCAAAGATTCTCCAATAATAAATTTTGGCTTAATACCAGGCAAGTGATAGGTGCAATCTTCCTAATTCTAGACAGCAAAGTCACTTAGATGGAAATATTTACATGCATGATTCATCAACAAGACAGGATGGTTCCAAATAAATGGATTTATGTAATTTCTTATAACAAACTTGGTATGGCTTTACATTCAAAAACACACTTTAAAAACAGATCAACAACCAAAGTTATTTTTATGAATCAAAATTGATACCAACAGGAAATGAAGATCTATACCAAGAAACTGAAGAAATCATTAATCGAATATATATATTTAAAAAAAATATTAAAAAAACGATGATAAGGAAACCAGACAGTGGTGGTTTTGTATTACCAACGACTGCAGCCTTTTAGCTTATTTCACTTTTCCTAGTCCCTTTGTTTAGATTAATTTACTCAATCCATGTGCTAGGAAGTAGTAGGCCATTGACTGTTATTGCTGCAACTCTTTTCCCCGGATTTTCTTAGTACCCTAGAATATGTTTCATTCGAAGGCAATTTGGGTGGCGGTTACTTCTACCTCATTGCGTAGCCTACAGAGGTCATCAGTGAATGTATCCATGTGTTTCTCTGAGTTTTATCCTGCCTAACTATTGTTAAATGTTTGCCAGTTTTGGTGAGGTTTTCTTTAACCATGAGCTTGCCACGTCTGGCGCTTTTGGAGTTCATCCTTTTCTCCTTTGTTTTTTCTTATGAATCCATTCTGAGATGGAAGAGTGTTTGATTTTGTTATCTATCTACATCTTGCAGACCCTCCTATCCTCATCTGGCAAGTTTGTCTATGTGTACATTACTCAGAACAGTTTGTGTACTCATAGCCAAAAAATTGCCAGGCCGTTGTGTTTTCTCGAGTTGTTGCAGGTCTCGAGTTTATACGTATGCCGAACCTAACCATGGTATACCTTTATATAGAAAATATGTTATCAAGTGATCAACAATCAGGTATAAACATGTTCAACCATCGGTTATAAATTTATACACTCTTATCAAAAAAGAAACTCTAGCTTATTTAAACTGTCATGGTTATTTTAAAGTTTTCCACCCCATGATTAATGAGGGATAATAAAAATCTTTTTTCGTTTCGTTTTCAGAATTAGGAACGCAGGGTGTTTTCTATAGAAGCAAAACCTTTTCACATTAGCCTGGTTACATCAACATCTCATACATAAGGCGTAACAGCGAATCTCATAACATATTCTCAACACGAACCGTTACTTCTTTTTTTAAAATCAAATTGTATCATTGTTGTACAATTCACCGTCTTTGTATTTCCTTGTTTCATATGATCAGGTTACATTATATGTAGCCATTCATAATGATGATTTTTCAACTACCCTAGATCATATCTGAAATCCTAAGCAACTATCTATTTTAATATTTTTAATCGTTCACACTCGTTATTGAAAGAAACTCAGCGGATAAATTATGGGAAACTTTTTCTTTCAAACGATCGTTTATATACAAGTGCCAAGTAGGCTGTTTTCGGTAACATTTAATGGTTTATAGTGTACGAAGAACTCCGGGGAACCGGTAATGGCTGATGTTAAAAGCAAGCCCTATCAAAGTGGTTAAGTGGGCCGAGTTAATTAGGCCCCTTTAATATTCCATTGCCGTTTTATGTTCTCAATAAAGCTCATCCGAAAATTGAATCCGGCCAAAACCTCCGACACGTCTCGTTTTACGGTAGCTTAGTTTTGTACGTTTTATATTTGTGAGGCAAACGGGAAATTTAATCAAGAAGACTTAAGGAATTTTTAGCCAGTATAAAATATCATGAAATAGTGCCTTTATAAAGTTTTAGAACACCCTGCTTGCATTTCTAAGATTACACGGGTCCGCCTATTCTCGCAGTGTCGGTATAGCACAGTATCCGATACAAAAATCAAATTAATTACATAATTTACAACAACAATGAATCTAGTCGATTATAAATATATTAAATTGTTTATACATATATTAAGTTTATATATATCTATAAAATTAACCCTAAATTCTGAATAGAACTTCAATTCAAATAGCTTAAAACTTCGTTGTCCATGAATAAAAGAAAACGCAGGACCAACAGGCCGGGAAGATTGTTGGGAAATGATAATCTCATTTAACCGTTCCAAACTCCAAGAACTTTAATGCTGAGGATTTCTCTTCAGGATAATCAAATGTGTCCGTCCAAGCTAATATTGTTTAAAATACCCTTTTATATTCAGGCGAAATGGTTGACTGGTTCATTCATCAAGGAGGTTTATTGACTTTTTTTAAGTACCTGGATTCAATTCGAGGAAGAAAGGCAGCCTGTCGACCCCGTCTTCGTATCTGTAGTCGAGGAGTTCGTTGTGCTGGCCCCATTTTCCCTGTTGGGGTTTTTTCTTCCTTTTTCTAGGGTGGAAATCGGCCGGCCGCCGCCTCACGTGGAACATGATCGACCCTGGAAAAAAATCCGAATAAATAAATGCCTGATGAATACAGATACATGAAACATAGATAAAGTCATATAAATAATTTTGATGTATGTTGCTTCCAAATTTGTCGTCAAAATTAAGATAATGATTTATTTAAACATTTCTACTAATAACACATTTTTACTATTATAAAAACATAACTGTTTCCAACTAATAAGCTGAAAGGCCAATTTCTGAAGATAACCCTAATGAAATTTGATGACATTCGTCACGAGTGTACTATGCGCACATGCGACAAATCCGACACACACAACACAATTTGCTAAAAATATAGCTTTTACAAATAAAAGGAAATTGTTTTTCTAAAGATGCTCGATCAATTAGAAACCACTGAATGCACTGTTGAATTGTCTGCCTTTCGACACCAATTCTGCTGTAACATCTCTATTACAGGACAATGGATAATCAAAACATTACTACTGAGCTGGAAAAATTAAGGATTACACTTTACAATAGAAGGGACAACATCAAACTACGGCAACAATTAAAACCTTACACCTTCAAAAGTTGGACCGTCCTGAAAAACCGATTATAACTCAATATCAAAATTTCTGATTCGATTATGGTCAAAAAGATCGGCGATAAGTGATTTCGGATTCAATACGTTAGTCAAAGTCGCAAATCGGTCCCACAAAGCACGGTTATCGCTCTTTCTTTGTTGCCACGTCTGTAACTCAACTGTAAACAAATTGACATTATTGACTAACAGAACGCTGATTGTTTGATTTATACGAGAAGCTGTTTAAAATAACGTTTAGTCGAACTGACATGGTTGATAGCATGAATAACAGTATGCCATATGGAACTGTTTCTATGTAGGGTAGTGGTTGTCACAACGGTAACCGTGGCGTTCTCGGTTATGTTTCGGAACGTTGAGTCGTAATCCTCATAAGAATAATCATAAAAATATCATTCACTTTATGGTTATTAGGTTTAAAAAGAAACCTAATTTTAAGGGAAAAACTATTAATTTTTGACTATTTAACTTTGTTTAAGGACAATTTTACATATATATTAAAGAAGAAACGAACAAAATTGGATTCCCCAAAAGCATTTTTTTAAATGCAGATTCTCCCTCGATTTCGTTCGATATCATAAACATTGAAAAATTCCACAAGAGACGGGTTATTATCAAGTTATACAACAGACACAATAAAATATTAAATATGCAGCGCAAACACTGAATAATTGAAGAAAAATTGAAATGAAAGGGAGCCCAGAGATTGCTTGAATATTTAATTTCAGTCGGCAATCTAGATACTAACTGGTGTTGGCAATTAAAAATAAAATCTTCCTTGAAATAAGTAACGCGGTAGCAAAACTTAAAGACTATGGAAAAAAACATACAATATTATTTGCGGCAATGAAGTAAACATAAAAAAGGCATTTCAAGTTATACTTTTTCACGCATGTATGCATTTCCACAACATTTATTCAGATAGGCATAGAAAACACTTCAATGTTGTGGCCAACATAAGATGTAGCACTTCCTAAAATAATATATGTTAACTTGATGATGGAAATATTTAATTTCGGTCATACAAAAACTAAATACAAATACACTCCCACCATTTCTTTCCGCTCAAGAGTTTCCAGGGATTTTCTTAGATAATATCAAATGAGAAAGTTTTGTTAAAGTGTCTGACGCTCGACTGCGAGTTGGACGTAAAGGCCTGTAATTAGTTTACTTTTCATTAACTTTGAATGCTAAAAATTTGTGAATGAATTTTGTATGTCAGATGAACCTGAACTAGGACCGTCATCTCCTGGTCCGCCTTTCTGGCTAGTTTTGTCAGGAAGCCTCCGTATAAATATATCATAAGAGGCCAACAATGACGTCACGTACCCCGTTATGTGGCTGGGTCGTTATATTCCCCATGAGCGAGATGCTCAGGAGATTGTCGCTGCTAAACCTACGGAGTTAGGCTTTAAGGGCTTTCGACACTTAGGTCTCATTTCTGCTCCATCGCATGCAAATTATAATTTAGCCTAACAGTAACATCCATAATGCAATCGCACAAATAAATACATTCACACACAGGTGTACATATGTATACTGCAATCGATATATTTATATAGTAATAACCTAACTTAGGGTCGATGGAGTACAATCCATAAATATTTCCCCATCGGCCTTAAACCCACACGCTGCTTGAGGGACGATGGTGACGTAATACCATTCACACTAATAAATACACGCACTTAGACAACACATAAAACAAATCAACATTGAATAAAAAACCACGCGATTTCTAAAAAGCGGAATAGGGGACCTAGAAACTCGCCTCTGTGTCCGAAGAAGAAAGAAAGAAGAAGAGTTAGTATTAGGGATGCTAGGCTAGGTAGGATTAGGGGGTTAGGGGCGGGTCATGTTATGATAATTTATTCAATATTTTTCAATGAAACCGAGAAAATATGGCAATCCGATTTCCCTTGTTTCTCACTTTCATTCTCTCTCTCTCTCTCTCTCTCTCTCTCTCTCTCTCTCCCTCTCTCTTGATTCTCTTCTCATTTCTCCTCCTTCTTACATCCTTCATCCACTACCTCTTTCTATCGTCATGTGTATAACTATCACTCAGTAAGTCTGGTCAGTCTCTCTCAATCTTATTCTCACTAAATCTCTCTCTCTCTCCCCCCCTCACACACACACTTTTTATTATTCACATTCTCTAAAATTTCTCGTTAATTGGAAGGTATCACGACTCAATTTGTTAAAATTTTTAAATAAAATTATATCCATTCATTCATTTAGTTTCTCTCCTCTTCTAAATCTATCTATCTATGTACTTATCTCTCTTCATTCTGATAGCTTCTCTCTATGTCTTTAAACATACACAAATTCGTCTGTGTCCGTTGGTCGGACTATTAGGAAGAGCTTCGGTTTGGTAGGGTTGTGGTTGTGGTTGTGGACGGATTAGGTCGGTTTGGCGAGGGCCAAGCGTGATTTTTCATTACGTTGGCTCATGAAATATCAAGATCATACATTCACCCTAATAAATACATTCATCCAGGCAAGACGTATAACACATTTTATTTTAAAGTGTGCCCTTTGATTACTCATATAAAGGATATGGAAAATATAATCGCTGACGTCACTCTGATCAAAATAGTTATTTCAATGTTTTACACTCAAAATTTCTAAGAAAGTAATGCATTCAATTAATTATTCCTTCAACTCGGCCAATATTTGTTCATTGGCGGAGTTTCAAGCAATATTTTGGAGTGTTTTTTGATACAAATAAAAACAAAGGATCATGTGAGTTCTTTGACGAGGAGTTTTGATATTGCACTATTGTGATATTGTCGACTGATAGGTATAAAGGCTTTTTCAATATCGAGGGCACAAAAGACGCATGGCTGAATGGGTTTCTTTATCCACTGGAATATCAACAAAACCATAAGTTTTTACAGATAGTCTCCACTATTTCGATAACCCTATGAGTCAGTACGGGGCAAAATTCATAGTTTTCAATTTGAATTTGATTTTTCGAGAAAGCCTTGTCGTATTCCTATGGAAAAGGGATTTTAACAAATCAGCGAGTCAAATGAATCCTGATCCTTGCGAAA